TCTTTTCTGCTAGCTAGCTAACCTGTTGTGTTGGACTGTCCGAGGCATATCCAAATATTTCTCCATAAAGTGAGACATTTCATTACTATCACAAATAATGTTGAAAATCCACAGATTTAGAAATTCAACCAACTTGCTGTAGCTCCTGTTCCACACAGTTGTTTGTTATATGTTAAATACGTTCTGGCTGTGATTGTGTTGCATTTTCACTTTCTGTTTTTACATTGTACTGCAATGTGACAATTGCTGTAAATGTTACAGGTGGCCAGCCCATTGCAGGAAGCCCTAGTCCTGATATCTGTACATGAAGTTGGTCTGTGTGTGTGCTGAGCAGACATACAGTGAACAGTTATAGTTGTTACTATGTGTATTTTAGCACAACTAGAATGCTGTATTGATCAATCAGCATCTAGGACTGCAATTCATATAATCTCCTTATTTTCCATTAGCATACAGTAATGGGTGGGAAACCCTCTGCTATGTGGCGGTCATTAGTTAGTGAGGGGTTGTGACCAGCAGTTTGATGAGGATTCTTCTATTTCTGGAGATTGTTAGGGTTTTCTTCTGCATGTGTGTGTGGTTGCAGTAATGTGATTGTGTTGTAGGTCTCTTGATTTCTGCTGTGACGCGTGCAGCAGCTGTATGCGCTCCGCTCTGCTTGCGCTCTCTCCTGACAGTGTCCCGCGACCTGTTGACCCTCAGGCACACAGACTGGCACAGCAGATCAACTTTAAGGTCAGACTCATTTATGAACTCAAATATATTATGTTTATAAAGATAATTAAGGCAAGACATCGCAGGTGAATAGGGTCAAAATGAAAAACTTAACAGATATTGCCATACTTCCCTTGTGTCTAATCATAAAATTGTATATTAAAGGGGTCATATGATGCTTTTTCTTTTTTTTTTTCTCGAGCATCAGTCCTGATCATAATGAGTCCTGATCAGTATTTTAACCCTTTAAATTATCGTTTGTTTACATAATGCTGCACCAAAAAAATCTGTTATTTTACTTCTACTAAATGCTAAGCTCTTTTTTCATTATTACAGTCTTGGATAATTAATTTTTTGAAGCATTATTATTTTTCGTGCAGTGTCAAAAAAAAAAAGTACCAAGGAATGCATATGATAAAATGGAATTGGAATTAAATATTGCCGTTTTAATGAGTTTCATTGGGGGACGTTTTTGTCCTGGGTGTACGTGTTTTTAGTACCTAGTGTAAAGTGGATTTATAAAAGAAAATGAAATATTTTTAGATTTTTAGCTAAATTTATGCTGTTTGCATTAACACAGTTAAAATGATCAATAAAACAAACATTAAAAAGACAAAAAATGTCTGAGAATGCACAAGCGTTAATAAAAAATAAATAGAAAAATATATATATAAAAAAAATATTTTTCAAAATGTTATGTTATGAAATGGTTCTTGTTCTGAAAAAGTATGTTTAAATATGCAAATTATGGTTAAATTAAATACATGCTCCTTTGCATACATTTCCAGGGCAGAAATATGAACATTGGATAAAGGCAGGTTCAAATATCTAGAAAAAAAATCACTATGTTTTTAGGAATAAAATATTGTATAAAATCAGGTGAATGATACATAAACAAACTCCTATATATACATTCAAACCAAAACTTATTTAGACACCAGATATAATGTTTTATATTTTTTTACTAGTGGGTGCAGGACACTATAGTTAATTTATGTAAGTGAGGATGGCAAAATAAAGTAAACTGTGTCAAATCATACCCAAAAATTCCTCATACAGTGGACTACCAGTAAAATGTATACAAATTTGGGACCAAAAATTATTCAGACAATTTGACCTGAGCATGTTATGCTTTAGTGTTATCTGACATTATCAAGCTGAATTTGTTCTGACACAGTTTAACTCTGAGTTCTTGTCATATTTTATTACCATTTTCTAAATCATAGCGAATAAATTGGGATAATGTGAGAAATGTTGAAGGTGCCTGAATACATTTTGTTTTGCCTGTAGATAGGAATAAATCTGCAAAGTTTGGTAAGTGCTGCTGAAGTAGAGACTTCTAGCTCAATGCAGGAGAAAAATAGCCTTTAAATGTATGTGTAATTTAGATCTACAGACGCAAACAGAAAAAGTGCAATAAAATAAACACTTACATTTCAAAACTGACGTATTGTCAAGTCACCTTTATTTATATAGCGCTTTATACAATACTGGTTGTGTCAAAGCAGCTTTATGGAGTCAAACAGGAAAATAGATTGTCAATAATGCAAGAAGACAATATCAAGAGTCATTTTCCAGCTAAAGTCAGTTCAGCTCTCTTCAATAGCGTCTGTGCAATCAGTCAAGCGTCAACTAAGCAAGCCAAAGGAACCAAAACTCTATCGGTGACAGAAATGGAGAAGAATCCTTGGGAAAAACCAAGCTCAGTCGGGGGGACCAGTTCTCTTGAGCAGCTGTCTGTAGTGTCTTGCCTTAAGCCAGTATAGGACCATTAATAGTTTTGCACTCTGACAATTTTCATGACATTTAAGCACATGACTTTACTGAGAAAAATCTCGGTCATCAGGCTGATTCCAGCTCATCGGCTGCAGACAGTGGCAGTTCAGCAGCAGCAGCAGCGGCGGCGGCTTCCAGTAACAGTGAGAGCTCAGCTACAGCAGAGAGAGACACGGAAGACACGGCATCCGCTGAGCAGGTGCGACAAACACTCTCAGTGGTACCTTGCATCATTTCCTGTTCATTCTGTTCGTCTGCTCTCAGTTTCGGTCTCTTTCTTTTGGTCTAGACTGAATCATCATCTGTGGCTCCTCAGACATCAAGCGAGGGTCCATCTGTTCCAGCGGCTCCGAGTCCACGTCAGCGGCGCTCGCAGAACCAGATCCAGTCCCCGAGATACCCCGTGTTCACGGCATCCCCCGCTGCCCAGCTCCCTCCGCAGGACGCCGGTCACACGGGCTTGGCCGTCCTCATCGTTCTCCTCACACTCGCACTAGCTGCGCTCATTTTCCGCAGGATCTATTTGGCCCACGAGTATAAGTTTGATTATGAGCTATGAACTCCTCCTCCAGCGCTTGAAAAGCACCACTGTCGTTCTGCCCACATCCAGAGCCTGCTCACCCTCGGCCGCATAGGACAGGATTTATGTTTGTCCTTCCTGGACAGAGCTTTGTCTTCAGAAGGGAAAAAAGGGGGAAATATTTCTGGATGTATTTGCAGAACAAAGCCTGAAGGGGCAAATCTCAGTACGCTTGTCAAGAACATGTCAGGGTCTGATTTCACCCCCCCCCCCCCCCCCAAAAATAAAAAAATGCAAATTTATATTTTACAAGAAGACGGTTAAGACTTTTTTTTGGGACCATTAAGATTTTTTTTCCTCTTTTTTTTTGCATTGTATTGTTACTTTTATGACAGTTATTCCACTCAAAAATATATATTCTTATTATTACTGTAATGTGTTCTTAATACTGTAATTATATATATATATATATACTATTTTAACTGTGAAGTATTTATGCATTATGATATTTATGCATCATAATTGTACTGCCTTTTAATTTAAGAAGATACAATTTTTTTTATAAAGCAGCCCTTCTGGACACATTACTGTAATGATATTGTTTTGCATTAAATACGAATTCGGGGATAATGTTCCTGTTTTTCTTTATGCAAAATATAATTCATAAAATTAATTTTCACTTTGGGGTGAAATATGACCAAGACATGTTTTCAAGTGGTTTCCTCCAGATCCTGCAAATGTATTGTTTATATACGATTTCCCAAATAATGAATTTCAAAAGAACTATTGTTACAAATACCAATGTACAAAATTTGGTCTTAGACCGAAACAAACTAAAAAAATGCAGACTGCTTCTAATTTTGCAGTTAAACATTTACATACTTTAAAAATGCTATAATAATGTAGGCATGGTTGTAATTTTTACTTATAAACAGTTAAAAAAAAAACATGCACATAGAGAAATGGTGATGTCTGTGAATGAATGATCTGGTAATTTTCAGAAAACATCCAAGCAGTTGCGACTATAATGCTTTTAATTTTTTCAATATATCTTAAAACTCTGGGATTTAAATATAGCAACATTATATACATGAATCACTGCTGTAGACAAAATCGATGTTGGCCCTATGTGGATAGACGATTAAAACATCATTTGTTTTAATTCCTAAGCAACAACCTGTAGTTTCTTTAGCCTAATGTTTAAATGGACAATTAATGCAATAAACCTGATTCAACCATAACTGTGTGCTCTTTTCACTTGTAGAGGAAGTACTGTGCAGCATTGAAGTAATAATATTAAACAAGTAATGCAACTTGTCCATGCAGCATGCATGTTATGGATCTGAAGGGTACTCTAAAATGTGTAACTTATCAGAGTGTTACCTGAACATGTGAAAAATAAATCCTATAGACTTACACTGAAGGGTGGACCAGCCATATATAGAGAGCATAGTAACATTGAGAAGCACTATGGCACAAGAAAAACACCTGAACCAGCTAATCAAGCTCTTACAAGGCATAGAAACTTCCAGTCAGGTGTGTTGAGGCAAGTTGGAGCTAAACTCTGCAGGACACCGGCCCTCCAGGACCGAGTTTGGACAGTCCTGGCCTAGTAAGAGCTTGATTAGCTGGTTCAGGTGTGTTTAAATGGGGTTGGAGCTAAACTCTTCAGGACACCGGCCATCCAGGACCGAGTTTGGACAGCCCTGACCTACAATAATGTACAGTATTTGAAAAAATAATGTGTTTTTTGAACATTAAAGCATGTCAATATATTCTGTTACACCAAATACACAAAATAATGATCTTTAAAAAAGCATCATATGACCCCTTTAATAGTTGATCAATGTGACACCTTTTTAAGACGATGTGTTGAGTTAAATGAGTTCATATTTTAAAACGCGTGTTCTTCTCCACTCCGCAGCTCCGCGCGACGCGCGTCTGTAAGAACGCAGCGGTGAAATGAGTCGCGGCGTGGGGACCAATCAGAGCGCGCGCTGAGCTCCAGCGTTCAGCGCACTGCAGCAAAACTAACTTCATCCCGAATGAACGCTGACTGGAACACGAGATGATTGTCTAGTCTTTCCTTCGCGATGTCTCACTTTATGAAGGCTGTTTTTCTGCTGCTGTGCGCTAGTATAAGCGGTCAGTGCGGGAAGATGAAGCACAACCTCAGGAGAACATCTGAACAACATCACAAACACGGAACGTAAGTGTCGCACGCTTTCAACTTGTTTCAGTTTTAACAGAAGGTGGAAAGCTACGTGCGCGAGCAACAACGAGATGAAGCCAACTATCATTAGCATCTACCCGAGTTTTTTTTTGTCTAATTATAACAGGCTTGTGGTTTTGTAGCCTAAGTTGTGATTGATTTTCATACATTTCTAATTACTGTCTGTAATGGCAAAATAATGGTATTTTCACGTTCCTTTTATATTTTTGCTTTTTCATAAATCTAAGTCTGTATCATAATTGTTTTATAGTTTAAATTCTGCTCAGAAAACTACCAAAATAGGCAGTTTAGTATGCAGTTAGGGTTGAAAAGGTTCTCATTGTGAAAACTAAATTTTGACAACTAAAAGACAGTTAAACTGTAATTGTAAAACATCTAAGGTTATGTACAGTTCAACTGTCATTCTTGTTTGTGTGTGTGTGTGTGTGTGTGTGTGTGTGTGTGTGTGTGTGTGTGTGTGTGTGTGTTTTGCGCAGTCAAGATTATAAAAATTAAAAAGTAACTTTCAGAACTGAACCGGAGTAATTCACTAACAGTGTGGAAACACAAATCTTTGACTGTTCACATTTCAGAAACAAATATTTTACAGAAAAGAATGGATTGAATGTCAATACTATGTGTTGTTTGAGAATTGCTTCTTTAAAAAAAACCCTAAATCATAATATTTCTATTAATAATATTTCTAATAATAAAGTGCTTTTATTATTTATTTGAAATACTACATTTGGGTTAAAACTGTTAATATATACTAGTGTGCATATAATAATACTAAACATTTACCACAATTAAACCTGAAGGTTGATTGGTGAATAATAGTTGTGCTCATGAGACGTCTGTATTTGTATGAGATTGCATTGAAGTGCTGAGATGTTCTTTTGCAGTCCACTGTTCAAGAAGATGCTGGATCAAACTAAGACACATCAGGTGAGATCAGACCATCTGCTGCGTGTCGATGATCATGACTTCACTATGAGACCAGCATTTGCAGGTAAAATCTGTGTGTGTGTGTGTGTTAGTGGCATGAAAATCACTGCAAAATTGTTTTGACATATATATTGTCAACTCATACTGATTGTAGACTATTTCTTATGCAGTTTTTCTTTTTTATTGTATGAGACCATCGAATTTCTGAACTGTGCTGATACAATTAATATTAGTAAATGAATACTCTCCTTTTACTTTGGAGCCTACAATACAATATCTCCACAGTTCATAAAGTGATTATTTGCAAGAATAGGTGCTGTGAATATTTCAGAATATGTTCTAGCTTCTCACACTTTTCATCTTTCGCACATGTGCTCCAGGTCATCTGCATTATTTATGTCATATTTCTGCTGCACAGCTTTCAAATAATGTAAGTTTTATGAACAGATGTAAACTGATTAACTTGTTCTATTAGTTTATCATCATCATCATCATCATCATTAAATTTTTCTATTTTAGCAAAATACCATGGTGAAAGTTACGAAACATGGCAAGGCTCATATTTTGCCCCAAAATCACTTAAAGTAAACAAAGCGTTAGGAATTTTTGCATTGTGATATATATTTGTATATACAGTATATCAACTGGCTCGTTGAACCGTTTTTTACCTTTTTTTAAAGGGTTAGTTCACCGAAAAATTAAAATTCTGTCATTAATTACTCACCCTCATGTGGTTTCGCACCCCTAAGACCTTCATTCATCTTCAGAACACAAATTAAGATATTTTTGATCAAATCCGATGGCTCAGAGAGGCCTCCATTGACAGCAACGCCACCCAAACTCTCAAGATACATAAAGACGTATTTTTTTTTTTTACGGTACTAAAGACATCGTTAAAACAGTCGACGTGACTACAGTGGTTCTACAATAATTTTATGAAGCGACGAGAATACTTTTTGTGCGCAAAAACAAAACAAAAATAATAACTTTATTCAGCAATCTCTTCTAATTCCTGTCATTATCCTTACGCGGTTAACGCAGTAAGCACAGTGAAGGCTTCCGTGTTCTACGTCCCAACGCCGGCTCATTATTGGCCAAAGCTGCACATGTGAGGAGCCATCCAATAATGAGCCGGCGTTCGGACGTAGAACCTGGAAGCCTGGATGTAAACAACATATGAACTAACCGTTTAAACACTTTAATTTGTGTACTAGCAGTGTATCTTACAGTGGACATGCACTGCAGAAGATTTTGTAATTTTTATAATTTCTTCTGAAAGTTATGCACATTTCTACCACGTATGACAAATTCAATTCAAGTTTTCAATTCAAGTTTATTTGTACAGCGCTTTTCACGATACAAAAAGGGCCTTATAGGCAAGTAATAATATTTTGTAACTGATACGGAACTTAATAGGTAGCCAGTGCAGAGACTGTAAAATTGGGGTAATATGATCATATTTTCTTGACCTGGTAAGGACTCTAGCCGCTGCATTTTGGACTACCTGTAGCTTGTTTACTGAAGATGCAGGACAACCAGCTAGCAGTGCATTACAATAGTCCAGTCTAGAGGTCATGAATGCATGAACTAGCTTTTCTACATCAGAAACAGGTATCATGTTTCATAAGTTGGCATGTTTCTAAGATTGAAGAATGCTGTTTTTGTAACATGGGAAATATGATTTTCAAAAGACAAGTTGCTATCTAATATAACACCCAGATTTTTGACTGTAGAGGAAGTAACCGTACATCCGTCTAGTTGCAAATTGTAATCCACGAGATTCGTTGTACTGTCTTTTGGTCCAATAAGTAATATCTCTGTCTTATCCGAATTTAATAGGAGAAAATTATTGGTCATCCAATCTTTTACATTTTTAACACTCTCTGTTAGCTTAGATAATTTAGAAGTTTCATCTGGTCTTGTTGAGATATATAGCTGAGTATCATCAGCATAACAGTGGAAACTAATCCCGTATTTTTTAATAATATTACCAAGGGGCAACATGTACTGTATATCGAAAATAGCAGAGGACCTAGGACAGATCCTTGTGGCACTCCATATTTTACTGGTGATAATTGAGATGACTCCCCATTTAAATGAACAAAATGGTAGCGATCGGACAGGTAGGATCTAAACCATCTTAAAGCCTGCCCTTGAATACCTGTATAGTTTTGTAATCGATCTATGAGTATGTCATGATCTATAGTATCGAATGCAGCACTAAGATCAAGTAAAACTAGCAATGAGACACAGCCTTGGTCTGACGCAAGAAGCAAGTCATTTGTAATTTTAACAAGTGCAGTTTCTGTGCTATGGTGGAATTCTTCATAGAGATAATTTTTTTTGCAGGAAGGAGCACAGTTGAGCAGACACAACTTTTTCTAATGGCATTAAAACAATTTTTTTATTTGTGGACTGATTCCAAGTCCTTTTTATTGTGAAGGCAAATTGTATTGCTAGCATTTTAATTACCTCAAATACAAATATCTTAAATATTTCCACATTACAGTAATTTGACAATATTCCAGTTTGGAAATGATGCATAATAAACATTTTTCTTAAACATCAAGTGATTCTTTATTTATAAGTTTTCTTCACACAGCATGCGTCTCATATTTAATTTCAAGGTCTTCACTGACTCTGTTGTCTTTTTGGTAACCAAGTACAGTAATTACAGTAAAAACCGTTAAAAACAATATTTGTTGTGGTTAAAATGATTGCAATAAATTTCACACAACAAATACTGAAATATTTTATAAATCAACATTTTGATATTTATTATGTGAAAATTATGTGAAACTTACGACACTCCCTAGCTGTCTTTGTTTAGATTATCATATTTTTAAACCAATAATAATGAATATTTTGATAATGAATTTTCATATTTTAAGATACTCAGGCATGATGTGTTCGGACCGTGCCATACATATCATTTTATAATTAAAGTCTTTCTCTAAATTCTTCCATCAAATGTGCATTCATTTGATAACAAGCTTTGCAATTTAAGGTTGCAAATCTCTGCTCAACAAGAACCGAGTTGCTGCAATGCGTCAACAGAAACCTGAATGTCTGCAGAGAACTCAGTCATCAAGCCAAAGACCTCCCAGGGAAAAGCAGAAGAGTGGTGTTTTTGATCATTCCTGGTGTGACTAGGAAAATTTTAATCTTATGCATCCAATCACTCCCTCTCCCTGTCTGTGGTCCGGCATGTTTTAAAACATCAAGGGCCAGATTTACTGCAATTCCATAAAAGCGCCAATGGGGGTGAAAAGTTCTGTGCAAATTTAAGAACACCGACACAGCCAGGGGTGCGTTTCCTCATAACCTTATCTCTTAGACTCTAAAGGTATACCTTAAATAAAGGTGTATCTTTATTTAAGGACTTAGCTCATAGGACTTAGCGAATAGTTGTGATTTAGCACAACTATTCACTGTAGTATTGCTGCCATAGTTTGCTCAATCTCCCCACCACAATCAATCCCTTTAAATAGACTCCTAAGCCTTGCCTTATTGTTTGCCAACTGATGTAACTTTGGATAATATAATTAAAAAGCTAACAACTATCAGTGTAATGACACTGATTTAAATGTATTCTTTGAATGAAAACACTTCAATTAGCCTAATTGGAACACTGGGTTTATTACAACTTCAGAATTATATTCGTATAGACTGAGATGTAAAGAAGCATTTTGCACAGTGGTGGCCTCTAGTGGAGTGAACTCTCAACAGTAGGCGCATTTCTATTACCCTTCAAATTGCACAAATTGAAATGGAAACACGTACATTTCGCAAAAACGCCCATATATTGCAAAAACGTTTTTACGCTCGCATGAGGTGGTTTTTCAGGCAATGCGAAAAAGGAATAATTCGCAAAACTGCAATGGAAACGTTTTTCCCCCCGCATTTACAGGTCACATGGTGTATGTAAAAAGTCATATGATCATTCTTCAATGTACTATATGTAATGGGTATATTATTTTGAAAAGAGATTATCTTTGGGATACTTTTATTTTGGCGAGTGGTCCGCTTTTTGCGCGTGCTGCAAGTAGGGAGAGACGAAGAAGAGCGCGGTGTATGAGTGTGTCACACACAGAAGTGAGAGCAGTGTTGTGATCGAGAAGCTCGTTCGATAAAGTTGCTTCAACTGAAGATTATTGAGGCTTAAGTCAAATAAAGGATGACAGCACTAAGTGAAAGTGTGTACAGTGAACCACAGTTCATAGCAGAAAGGAGTTTTTTTCAGTTTTGTTCTAGTGGTATGTGTTGGCTGTTAAAATGACACAGTAACATATCGAAGGCCACGGAAGCTGTGAGTACGCTTAAAGTGAAAACCCTGCTTAATTTTTGTCATCAAGTGACTTGTTGCATGTATTTTTGCTGTATTTTGCACCTGGACCATTCACGTGCAATTAAGTTTCCCGCACGTGTCAGAGCAGGTGAGACCGAGATCTCTGTATAATGCAGTTAATGCAGAGACTTAACTTATCCGCCGATTCAAGGTTGAAGATTGTGTTGCTACCCTGCCATCCAAGTGACATCTCAGGTTGATTCATCTCAGTTTGATGCTTTTTGAGACAGTTTATCTGTGGGATATTTTTACAAGACTGAGTGAATTTTTGAACTTACACACTTAAAACTACGTGATCTTCAGTTTATTTCAACGCACCCTACGTCCAGTCAACGGCCTCAAATTTATCGTTCTACGGTATTCCTCTCATTTTTTCCCATTTTTTTAGTGACTGAACTGAAAAACAGGGAACTGTGGTAATTCAAGTGGACTATGGAACTTGAGTAACTGTGAGTAAACATTTGAAGGGACGTTTCATATAAGTGCTCATTCTGAGGTGAGCTTTAATTGTGTATGCTTTGTTTTTGTTGTTTTCAAATGTGATTGTTTGAAGGTGACCATTTGAAAAGGTGAGAATTTGTGGGTTTACCAATTGACAAATTGCAAGTGATCTCATTTTGAAGTTTCATAAGGGATTTGTTATACCACAAGTGAAAAGTTTTCAACTGTTGTGTTGAAGGTGATTGTGTGGATTTGAAAAGACAGCACAAAGACTG